CCATTCGGATTAACGAACGCCCTGAGCACATTCATACGAGTGATGACGCATATGCTGCAGCCTTATCTAGGAAAGTTCGTGGTTGTCTATTAACATTCTGGTTTTCAGTAAATCTAGGGATGACCACTTGCATCACCTTAGACAGGTGCTCCTGACCCTTCGGAAGGAGAAGTTTTATCTTAACCTACCAAAGTGCTCCTTTCTGCAGAGTCAAGTTATGTTTCTTGGATTCATCGTCTCAGAACAAGGCTTGTCTGCAGATCCCGTAAAAGTCTAAGCCATCTAAGATTGGCCAGAACCTCAGACACTGCATAAAGCACGCAACTTTCATGGGCTAGCGTCCTTCTATCGGCGTTTCATCAAAGATTTCAGCACCATTATGTCTCCAATCACTGACTGCTTGAAGAAAGATAAGTTCAAGTAGACTCCCACGGCCTCCACAGCTTTCAACACTATTAAGGAGAAACTCTCGAGCGCTCCCCTCCTGGCTTTACCTAACTTTCACAAGTGCTTTGAAGTTGCTTGTGACGCTTTCGGGGTTGGAATTAGAGGCGTTTTAAGCCAAGAAGGCCACCCCATCGCCTACTTCAATGAGAAGCTTAATGAGGCCAAGCAAAAGTACTCCACGTACGACAAAGAGTTCTATGCCATTGTTCACTCGGAGCATTGGAAGTACTATCTCCTCCCCTAACAGTTTGTCATCTACTCAAACCACCAGTCTCTCAAGTTCCTTAGCTCCCAACGACACTTAAATGCCAAACATGCCAAGTGGAGCGAGTTCATTCAGGAATTTACCTTTGTGGTCAAGCACCGCCCACAAGGAGAGAACAAGGTAGCTGATGCTCTTAGCCAGAGAATCCACGTTCTCAACACCTTAACAGTTAATGTCATGGGATTTGACAGGCTCAAGGACGAGTATACTTTGTGTCCTGACTTTGGCATCATTTATGATGAGGTTAAAGATGGCAACCGCCAAGCTCATGTGAATTTCCTGATCAATGATGGCTACCTATTTCGTGGGTCTAGGTTGTGTATTCCCCGCACGTCACTGCACGATTTTCTCGTTTGGGAATTGCATGCGGGAAGGCTAGCCAGACACTTCAGCATTCAGAAGACTACGGCCATGGTTGAAGACAGGTTCTACTGGCCTTCCCTTAAGTGTGATGTTGCTCGAATCCTTTCCCAGTGTCGTACATGCCATATAGCAAAGGCAAAGAAGAGGAATATTGTGTTGTACACGCCTCTTCCTGTTCCTGAGGCACCTTGGAAGGACATTAGTATGGATTTCGTGCTTGGCTTGCCAAAGACAATGCAAGGGCACTATTCTGTCTTAGTTGTAGTTGATCGATTCTCGAAAATGGCACATTTCATCCCATGTAGTAGGACTATCGATGCCTCACATCTGGCCAAGCTTTTCTTTCGAGAGGTTTTGCGTCTTCACGGTTTGCCTACCACCATCGTCTCTGATAGGGATGTCAAGTTGGTCAGCTATTTCTGGAAGACCCTCTGGAAGCTCTTCGGTACGCAACTGAAGTTCTCGTCTGCTTTTCACCCTCAGACTGACGGACAAACTGAAGTGACTAACCGTAGCTTAGGTGACCTGTTTTGTAGTTTAGTTGACGATAAGCCCGGTAACTGGGATATAGTCTTGCCTATAGCTGAATTTGCTTACAATAACTCGGTCAATAGATCCACTGGCAAAAGCCCATTCCAAATTGTCCAGGGTTACAACCCAAAGCAGCCTATTGACCTTGTTCCCCTTCCCCTGTCTGCTTGCCCTTCTGAGTCCGCCGAGACCTTTGCACATCGCCTTCATGATATTCATGCTGAGGTTAGGCGTAAGTTAGCTTTAAATAATGACAGGTATAAGATAGCTACTGATGTCCATCGACGTCACCAAGAGTTCGATGTTGGCGACCTTGTCATGGCTCGTATACGGCCTGAGCGTTTCCCAAAGAGGCCTTACAAGAAGCTGCACGCCCGCACCTCTAGCCCGTTTTGCGTTTCCAAGAAGCTAGGGCCCAATGCATACTTATTAGAGTTACCTCTAGATATGTCTATTAGTCCAGTATTTAATGTTGAGGATATTGTTCCTTACCGGGGCACTTTCGATCCGCCCCCTTTGTGTTCTAATGACTTTGCAGGTACTCAGACTCACCAAGTCCCAACCCCACACGTGCCTAGAGTTGCGCCTCCTGCGGAAGCCATTGACACTGTGATGGATGAGCAGACGGTTCTAACTCCAGCAAGTCCCGTCAGTCGTTACCTCATTCGTTGGAAAGGCTGTCCTGATTTAGACTCTACGTGGCTTACCGAGGATGAGTTCCGTCGTGTGGATGCTGCCCTCCTCGACAGCTATCAGCTTTCTAACTCTCCGGTTGCGAGTTCTTCGAACCGGAGGGGAAATGATGTAGATTTAATTAATTAATTTTCTTTTGTTAGTTATTTATTTTGTTAATTACCCACTAACCCATTTATTGATTTTACATTTTAATTATTTTATTTAAAATTAGGTTATAAATACCCTAGGTTTTTATCGTGTAAGCAGACTTGGCTTTTGACGTATCAGATAGTTTTCTTCCATTCCTATTCTCGTCTTTGCTCTCCCTTTTTCTCTAATATTCTTCTCTGATCTCCTTCTCTTCTCCTTTCTCTTTTCTGCTTTACATCACATTATTTGCCAGAAGAAATAGAAGAAACTATGAGTTTTACCAAAAACAAACAAAGAAGAAGATTATGTCGCAATTGTCAAAGGTCAAATAGTATTTCATAAATGGGAAAAAAATCCATGTTGTTGTATTATATTAAACTACATATATTACTTTAAAGCTTAACAAAATTATGTGAATTCTTTTGAAAAATGTTCTACTTGGTTCCTTTTTAAAATCTAGAGTCAACTTAGTTACTTTGATTCTTATATTAAAAATAAATTCGAAGTTGCACAAAAATTATAATTAAAGTATTGTGTCATGCAAAAATTAAAAGAAAGATTTTTTTTGTCATATCATATTCAACCAAATAAAATTAAACTATCATGATTTCACCCATTAAAGTTGGCCCAATATTCAATAATGTTACGTTTCATGTCCCATAAATTTACGAGATTGAATCTCACTCTTACAATAAGGCTTACCTTTGAGTAATGTGTATTGGGAGATATATATATATATATATATATATATATATGGAATGTGCATATAAACATGGGGTGTATATATATTTGGAATGTATAGTCTATATATATGTATATGGAATAGATAAATTAGAATACACACACATCTGTGTGTGTGTGTGGAAATGTATATAAATATGAGGAATGTGTGTGTTTGTGCGTATATGGATCGGACGGTTTTTTCCCACCATATAATTTGTACGATATATGAGGCATTACATAGATGGGGCAGTTACTTCCCATCACGATTGGTATCGTGTTGATTGAAGGATGTTGCGATTGAATGCTTGATGATCATTATATTTTCTTATTGTCTAATCTATTGATGAAGATTGAGAAAAATTTTATCCTTCCTAGCATGATTTTAGCGTGAACATTTGAATATTGTGACATTTATTTATTATTTGTGACAAATTCTCATGGCACATTTTCTTCCTTTCTACACACATTGTTATTTGTGCTCCCACTTAGTCAGTGGTTATGGTCGATTATGCCACATAGACTCGTGGGGTACATTTTAATGAATTGGTGACTCAGATATGATCTCATGACGTCATGACTATTATAGTAATGTTAAGCCTCCTCTACGTTTGATAACAAGCATTGAAAATTAAAAATTAAAGATGAAAATTAAAAAAAAAATATTAAAAAAGTATTTAACATAAGAGACGGCTTGTTATATGGGATTAGCTAAACCCATATTGAGATCCCCCAATCCCACACATATAGGTTTAGCTAATCCCATATAACAAACACTTACTTATACTAAGTGTTATTTTAATAATTTTTCTTGATTGCAATTATAATTTTTATCTCAGATTTTTAATGTTTCGTGAGACTTTAGAATTAAAGTACTGATAAGCTATGGAATAGCAAGTGCATTCCCGAAGTTATTTTTGTTTGTTTTTTCTCATTTAGACTTCAACAGTTTTAAAACTAGTTTGACAAGCATTTTTATTGCTGTGGAGATAATTATTTGAAAGTCCATAAAATTTTGTTTAAACTTGTTAAGCTAAAGAAAATTACTCGTGTGCCGATTACAACTCCGATTCCGATTTTGAGGGGGTGACAAGCAAAGCTCTAGATATCGGGGGCCAAGTTACACTTTGTGTAAGTTTAGTTTCATTTTCTTTTATATTACTTCTACTACTAATTTGAATTGATTAAACAAATTTATTAAGTTAGTTATTTATAATTAATTAGTTCTCACTTTTCTAAAATACCTTTACTAGTGTGTTTTATTTAACACTATCATTTGATAAAATATTTAACATGTATAATTATTATAAAAACTATATTAAAAAATAAATAAATATGACAAACAAAATAAATTAGTATATTATATTTAAAATTAAATTAAAAGTTAAACTAGTTATTATATTAAATGATGAAAGTAGTATTATAATAGTACAGATTGATAAAACTAGTACTACGTATATATTACCTCTATATCTAATTATAAGAGCTAGTTGACTAATTTGATCAGATTAAAAAAATAAGTTAAGTTAGTTATTTGTAATAAATAGGTATTGTATTTACTAAAATATCCTTGTTAATTAAATGTTTTGGCTAGAACTATCATTATTAGAAGGACTATCTTAGAAATAAATGCATAAATATTAGAGACAAAATGAATTAGGTTTTATATTTATAACCAAAATAAAAATTAAATGAGATATTATATATATATTGACGACGATGATGACTAGTTTTATCTTTTATTTATTCATACTGACACGTTCCCTCACCTCCACAGCCAACCCATCTCTGCATATAAATACCCTTCATGCCCACGCTTTCCCACTCACTTTCCTTTACTTCAGATCATTTAATTCCCTCTCTCTCCCCCTCTCTTTCTCTCGCTCTCTCTGATCTCTCTCTAACTCCGATCCGGCCGTCATCCATGGCGGAAAACCACGACGGTAACGCCTTCTTCTTCAACCAACCTTCCAGCCGGAAGGGTGGTTGGCACGCCGCCATCTTCATCATCTGTACGTCTCTCATCACTTCCAATAACTCATATAAATATATATGTAATTGTGTGCATATCAGAGACGACGATTTCCAAATGGAATAGATTGGAGACAAGATTAGAATAGATTCCATGATCGATGATATTTGTGTTGGCAGGTGTGGAGTTTGCAGAGAGATTCGCGTACTCAGGTTTGTCGGGGAATCTGATAACGTACCTCACGAATGCTCTTCACGAGCCCATTACGACGGCCGCCAAAAACGTCAACACTTGGGTCGGCGTCTCGTCTCTGTTCCCTCTGCTCGGCGGCTTTGTCGCCGATTCATATGTCGGTCGTTTCAACACCATCGTCCTTTCCTCTCTCATCTATCTCCTCGTATGTACTTTCTTCCTTTATTCTTAATTATCTCCATTCTTCTTCCTCCTCCTTAGATTTTACCTTTGCCTTCTCTCCTTTTCATTGGAGTTCCATATTTTGGGGTCCCACAACTTTTTGACAGAAGAACATCTGTCTATTGACGAGCCACGAGCTAGGAAAAATGGTTGAAATGTCTAAGCATCCACCACCATGATAATTATTTTTAAATCCTCACAAACTAAGGAACGACAGTAAAGTTTAGTGGCAAAAAAAAAAAAAAACAGTAAAGTACAGTTAATAAACGCTCCTTTCATACTATTAATATAAAAACTAGCTTGATATTTATTTTATTTTTAAATATAAAATTTCAATTTATTTTATTATTTCATATTTATTTTTAAAAAAAAAAACCATTATCGTAGTTGTATATATTAATTATTTTATTAAATAGTAGTTTTAACTAGTATACCTGATTAGTAAAAGTATTTTTAAAAAATAATATCTATTTATTATAAATAAATATCTTAACTAATTTTTTTAATCTACTTAAATTAGTTAACTAGTTTTTATATTAAAAACCATATAAATATATTTTAAATAGATAGCCATGTGTATTAAAAAATATAATATACATTTTTCCTTCTTATTTTTCCCTCTCTTTGTTGATGAGGATAAAATTAAACGGCAATCATTATTAGGCGTGGACATCATCATTAAGTGTTTATTTCGCAGTAAAAGATTCTAGGGGTGGATCCCACAGTAGATGTGGGACCTACCAACTCATCCGTTGCCTCCACTATAGATTTAAGATTCGTTTTATATACACTTAATGTGTGTTATTAAGCTTAAGAAAAAGTATTTATTAACAAATAATTGATTAATTAATCTGAAACTTTCGTCTGAGATTCTGCAAAGCCATAGTGCGAGAGAGAAATAGACCCAGCAATTAAGTCACATCTAAGTCACATATGGGACCACACATCTGTACCTGCCATATGGACACATTACCTATGATTCTAAACATAGAAACTATACGGAGATTTAATTTAATTTACACATGTTAAAATATTTATATTTTTATGTGCATAGCTAATAAAGGCATTTTAAAAAAGACAACACATATTTAATATGAATAACTGATTCAAACAATTTTTTAATATTCACAAATTAATTATGTACCTCTTAATATACATATTTCTCAGCCTCATTTAAGCATGTTCGTACATTTCCTGAGCACATTTCTACAGAAAAATTGGAAGAGGATCCACAGGACAGGGCACTCAAATTAATTTACATCACATCTTTATTAATCATGACAAAATGGAAAGGGGTTGCATGTTTATGTTAATAATAAAAATAAATAAATTATGCAATAAAAAGAAGTTTATATAATTATATACTATTTTCTTCCATTACCCTATAGAACTTTTTTTTTGTGAAAAAAAAATTTGATGTATTGACAAAAATGTAGGGAATGATACTTTTGACTCTGTCGGTCTCAGCACTGAAGAACACCACTTTATTTTTCGTTGCTCTCTATATACTATCCATTGGTGACGGAGGCCACAAGCCATGTGTCCAAACTTTCGCCGGCGATCAGTTTGACGATGACTCGCCGGAAGAAAAGATTGCCAAAAGCTCATTCTTCAACTGGTGGTACCTGGGGATAGTGGCTGGTTCAACTATAGCCACTTTCCTTGTAATATACCTTCAGGTAATTACTCCTTTCTAGTCAAAATATAGAAGTTAGTAAAAAAAAATTCACTTTGATTTTAAATATAATATTTTAATTCATTTTATTTTTGAAATTTATCATGAAAATTAACTTTTTTTTTAATGAATAACTAGTTTAACTAATTTTATTAATTTCGACTAATTAGTTATTTAGCACATACATCTGGAACGAAGTATAGTTTTAATCAACTGATTAAGTTCATCCCCTCTTTCTTTTTGCCTTTCTATTTATGGTGAAAAATAATAGAATCCACAAGAATAATTATTTATATGCCAAAACAGGATAATATTGGATGGGCCACGGGCCTGGGAGTACTAGTGGCTGTGTTGGCTCTAGCATTAGCAGTATTCTTGTTGGGTATAAAAAGGTACAAAAAGGAGGGCCCAAGAGGCAGCCCATTCACAAGGATGGCCCAAGTTTTTGTGGCTGCAATTCGGAAATGGCGAGTGAAGACCACGAGCGATCCGCAAACTTATTGGTATGGCGGGGAAGAGCATAGTACTATATCCCACCATCATCTCCAAAGTCAACCAATGTCTCATTCTTTGGCCCACACCAATCAATTCAGGTGCTTCTCATTTGTCCCAAAAATCTTCTTTTTCTTCCTATCATAAAAGTAAAAAAAGATTTTGTTGGAAACATATTGTTTTGTAAATATCTTCCTAGCAATTATTGTGTTTATTTGTGTTGGTTGTTATATATGTTTTCTCCTACCAATTGTCTGACCCAAATTTTCTACATTATATTATGATGTTGAAGGTATATTTTGACTCCTAAAATTTATCTCCGTCATTTGTGCAAAGTAGCCTCCTTACACTTGATTGAAAGGACTTTTTCTATCTTCCCTTTGACCGTAAAAAGCAATTTATTTTTTTAAAAAAACTGAAAAAAAATATTTTCTACACTTGTTGAAACAATCGATGTAGAAAGGTGAAAAAGAATTTCTTTTTTTGAAAAATTAATTACATTCTACACCCGCGTAGAAAATGAACAATTTCATACTGCCAGTTAAATTTTCTACATATTATATCGTCTCTAATTTTTTCATTTTTTTTGCTCTAGTGCATCATGAGACAATGATATTGAACCATCATGTTAAGAGTTTAAATATATTAGATCTGAGGAAAAGGTAAATTTTGAGAAGAAAAACTGGAGACTGGTGACCCTAATACTGAATAATGACTTGTGGGACTCATTTATAATTTTATTATTTTATGTCACCTTTTTTTTCAAATGCAACAATCCAATTTTCTAGTCGCAATGTTACAAAGTAAAATGTTGTTACAGATTTCTGGACAAGGCAATGATCATAGATGACATCGATGCTTCAATCAAAACCAAAAATCCATGGAGACTATGTTCAGTGACTCAAGTGGAAGAAGCGAAGCTAGTTCTTCGTCTTATCCCTATATGGTTAAGTTTCTTAATGTTCTTTGTTGTCCAAACTCAACTCCACACATTCCTCATCAAGCAAGGCAGCACAATGGTCCGTTCCATCGGACCACACTTCCAAATCCCTCCGGCATCGCTTCAAGGCCTCGTCGGAGTCATCATCCTCATCGTCGTCCCCATCTACGACCGAGTTTTCGTCCCCTTCGCCAGAAAACTCACCGGACACCCATCTGGCATCACAGTGTTGCAGAGAATCGGAGTAGGTCTCTTCTTGTCTATATTCAACATGATCGTTGCAGCTTTAGTAGAAGCCAAAAGGGTTAATATTGCTAAAGAGAATCATCTTCTTGACAATCCCAAATCTGTAATACCAATAAGCATATGGTGGATGCTTCCTCAATATATCATCTATGGTATTTCTGATGCCCTAACTGTTGTAGGGTTACAAGAACTGTTCTACGATCAAGTCCCAGAAACGATGAGAAGTATTGGAGCTGCGGCCTATATAAGCTTGTTGGGAGTTGGAAGCTTTGCGAGTAATGTTGTTATAAGTGTTGTCGAAGATATCAGCTCAAGAACTGGTGAGAAATGGTTAGGGAATAATCTGAATAGAGCACATCTTGATGACTTCTATTGGCTTTTGGCTGGATTAAGTGCTCTGAGTTTTTGTATTTATATTTGGTTGGCTAAACGTTTCGTCTACAAAAAAGTTGATGTAACTGATACTAGTAACCTGGGAAAAGTTTAAGGATCGACCATGCATGTAACTTTCTATGTATAATATATGAACGATATGTATACTTACTATGTTTTTGTTGAAAAACCCTTATAATAAACTCCTGAGAGTTGTTTTTAATTTTGTTGTCCGTGTATAAATACAATTTATGTGTGATTGTCTTAGCTTGAGACACTTTGTTTCAATTTTTCTTTTGATGTGTGTGTGTGTGTGTGTGTGGATATGGGAGGCTTATGGTGTCTTAATGTATCAGAATATACAGCTCAATTGAGTGGGGCATACGAATGTTATCTCAATATACAAAGTAACGAATTCTTAAATTTATATACTATATATTTCATATTAAAGTTAATTGAAAGAAAGTGATAATATGTTCCTGATGTCAACAGAAAAATTTAAAGGAATTTTCATATAAATTTTTAGTGCATTATATAATAGATTAGTTTACCCTTTACTACTCTGATCTTTTTTAATTGTCATTTGTAGGAGGAAAGTTTGGTTTTTTGTTATTTCATTTGTCACTTGTACTTTTTTTTAATGCTTCATTTCCAATTCTGCTCCTATTAATTAAGGGAGACAAATGTAAAAGTCAAGAGAGAGGAAATAAGCAAGAAAAAAATATACTAGCTATTTATAAGGGTAAAAGTGAAAGATTTTATGCATTTAATGATGTCCTTAGTATGTGAGAAATTACTACAAGTAATAATTAAAAAGGACCAGTGTGGTATATATTGTCTTCAGTTTTACTATATTGTCAGTTTACTAGTGCTTCGGTTTCCAATATTTTTTTAGTTTCTGTCCACATAGTTTTTGTGAATCTTTACAACTTTTGTTCTTATCTTTACATTTCCAAACCATTCTTTGATTTCTTTGTTTTTTTTCTTGATTTAATCTCTTTAGTCATTTAAGATTGAATTCACAATTCTAGATACTAGATAAAACGGAAGGACTTCTATTTTTGAATCCCTATCTAAATTTACAATAGTAGGGCAAATTTAGATATACGTTTAGTTCATATATAACTAGTTAATATCTAATATCACATATAAGGTTCCACCTAAGAGAATTAAATACAAAAAGTTCTTTAAAATTATCAAATTAATCTAAAGTCCCAAGGGACCTCATTACAAGAGATTCTATTTATTTAATTACCAAATTGTTCTTCTCTTCTTTTTTAAAGTATGTATTAATAACTAAAAAAATATAGTTGTTAACAACTCAAGGTGTTATGATTCTATTACAACAGATATTGACAATTCATGCATTATATTTCTGTGAAGTGTTGAGAAAATGTGTTGTTAATGTCTGTCACAATAGTTGTTAATCATTATACCTTAAATTATTAACAACTGCTCATTCAATTATCAATGCATATTTAAAAAAAATAAAGACAATTTAATAATTAAACAAATAAAATCTTTCACAATGAGATTCTTTGAGACTTCATAATAATTTGATTATTTTAAGGCATTTTTTTGTATTTAATTCTCTTAGGTGGGACATTATTATAATTTTTCCTATTTCTTTCCAAAAAATCATGCTCTCATCAGCAAATAGATTCTATGTTCCCTTATTTCTTGGGAAAATCACTAACAGGTCCCACAGAAGGCAATTTATTATTCTAAGGTCCCACGAAATGTCAAAATCACTGACAGGTCCCAAGGGACCTCAAAGTAATATTTTCGTTTTGTAAAATGACATTATTGCCCCTCATATTCCAGATTCATATTTGCTCTGTCATTACGATTTACAACCTCAGCAGCGACTATTAACAACCTAATGAGAGGACGTTAACAACCCTAGCAGTATCCGTTAACAACTTACTTTATAGAATTATATAACCTCTACATAAGAGTAAATTATAACCAAATAATATAATACAACAACTTTAACACTAAAATGGGAAGCTTTTTGATATCATTAAGAATTTTAACTAGATCCAATAGGATTATAGTAATATTTTAATGCGAATATCCATTTACAATCTCAACAGCGATTATTAATAACCGAATGAGAGGGCATTAACAACCTAAGCAGTAGCCGTTAACAACTTACTTTATAGAATTATATAACCTCTGCATAAGAGTAAATTATAACCAAATAGTATAATACAACAACTTTAACACTAAAATGGGAAGCTTTTTGATATCATTAAGAATTTTAACTAAATCCAATAGGATTATAGTAATATTTTAATGCGAAGATCCATTTACAACCTCAATAGCGACTATTAACAACCGAATGAGAATGCATTAACAACCTAACAGTATCCGTTAACAACTTACTTTATAGAACTATATAACCTCCGCGTAAGAGTAAATTATAACCAAATAGTATAATACAACAACTTTAACACTAAAATGGGAAGCTTTTTGATATCATTAAGAATTTTAACCAAAACCAATAGGATTATAGCAACATTTTAATGCGAAAATCCATTTACAACCTCAACAGTAAGTATTAATAACCTAAGAAGAATTGTTAACAACCTTAACAGTGTCTGTTAACAACTAACTTTATCGGATAATATAACTTCTAACTATAACTAACTAAACTATAACTAAATAGTCTTAAAGTTAATCTTATATAGTTGTTAGAGGTTATATTATCCTATAAAGTCAATTGTTAATAGATACTGCCTAGATTGTCAACAGCTCTCTTTGGGTTATTAATACTCACCATTGAGGTTGTAAATGGATCTTCGCATTAAAATGTTGCTATAATCCTATTGGGTTTAGTTAAAATTCTTAATGATATCAAAAGCTTCCCATTTTAGTATTAAAGTTGTTGTATTATACTATTTGGTTATAATTTACTCTTATGCGGAGGTTATATATTCTATAAAGTAAGTTGTTAACTGATACTGCTTAGGTTGTTAATGCCTTCTCATTCGGTTGTTAATAGTCACTGTTGAGGTTGTAAATGGATCTTCGCATTAAAATATTACTATAATCCTATTGGATCTAGTTAAAATTCTTAATGATATAAAAAAGCTTCCCATTTTAGTGTTAAAGTTGTTGTATTATATTATTTGGTTATAATTTACTCTTATGTAGAGGTTATATAATTCTATAAAGTAAGTTGTTAACGGATACTGCTAGGGTTGTTAACGCCCTCTCATTAGGTTGTTAATAGTCGCTGCTGAGGTTGTATATCGTAATGACAGAGCAAATGTGAATCTAGAATATGAGGGGCAGTAATGTCATTTTACAAAACAAAAATATTACTCTGAGGTCCTTTGGGACCTGTCAGTGATTTTGACATTTCGTGGGACCTCAGAGTAATAAATTGCCTTCTGTGGGACCTGTTAGTGATTTTCCCTTATTTCTTCTATGTTTTAATTTTGAAAAAGAAAGAAAGAAAACATGAAAATTTATGATTTGAACATGTCAATTTGTCTTTGGATTTTTAAGATATAAATGCTGTGATTTGCTATATTTATGACATTTAATAGTGTTGTAATGTAATTTGGTATAATTAATTTATCGACCAAAAACTTGTATCACGTCTAGACAATTTCAGAGTTCAAAGCCAAACAAACCCACATATTTGGGGATAATTAAGGGTTTACTTTTTTGCCATCATTCTGGTGGGAATATATTCCTCCAAATTGTTCTTCTCACCATCTCAGACAGCCTGTACCTTGGCTTTTGCCACTTCCACCGTCCAAGCAATTATGGTCTATTAGGAAAAAAATTAGAGGAAAAAGTTTTGATAAAATATGAATCCTATACGTATATACCTACATTGTTTGTGTTATAGACGAATCTTTTTTTAAGCTGTAAACAGTTATTTATTTAATACTCTTATGATCCTATTTATAATGTAGAAAAAGAATTTTTTTTATCTTTAATATCAGTAACTTTATTATATGAATTAAAATTTTACTCTAAATATAAATATAACTATATGTTAACTACGAATAAAATTGAAAATTTATTAAATTTTAAGACAAAGTAATGATATTTGAGGTTTTCTTTTATCATAATAAAATATGCAAGAAGTAACTTATAAATAAACTAAACGAATACTTCCTCCGATTCTATAGATAGATAACAATTAACTAAATCACATAAATTAAAATATTAGTTAAAATTAGTTTAAAACAATAAATGAGTAATACAGGTAATTTTTCTTACAAACATACCCTTACTTATGAAAATGATAAGTGAGAGAGAAGATGAATGGAAAAGAAAAGAAGTGAAAGAGCTTGAGTGAGAAAAAGAGACAACGATGTGTGTAATTAATTGGGGGTTGAAACGAAAAGGACAAGGGCATTGAATTTTTAAACGATCACAAATTGTTACTAATATAGTCCTCTTGTCTTGTTTATTCCCTTATGTCCTTGTAAGCTTTAAATAACTAATTCATGGGTAATGAATAATTAGTTAAAACTAATTAAAAGCAATAAATCGATTATAAACATATTTTTTATTTTCAAATATGTCCTTATAATAAATGAAAAAAATGATAAAATAAAATATGTGAGAAAATATAATAGGAGAGATTATGATAAAAAAGAGAGAATAAATAATTAAGAGCAAAACTGAAGGGGGAAAAACTAATTATATGTCAAGACAAACACTAAATTGAAGCTACAATAAACCACATTCCTCTTCAAATTTGAAGCTTATAAATAGGAGCGGAAGGAGTATAAGGTAGGGAGCAAGGGAGTTATTTTGTCTCATTTATAAGGTAAAAAGAAAAAATTTTATATGAATATATAATTTTATCCTTTATATATTATTGTGTTAGCATTATTCTTATGAGGTATCATGTACAAATTTTTCTCTTTCTGCCTTTACAAATCATTCTCACCCCTCTCTTCTTTCTTTATTTCTTTCCCATGAAAATTAAATGAGAATAAAGTTTTAAAAAAATCACTAAATATCTTACAAGTGACTCATGTTATCTTTGTTTCATCGGTCAGACATAGTAACGAAGATGGTGTTGTACATGTTATACTACTTTTAATCCTTAGTATAAGAGTTAATTGACTAATATGACTAGATTAAGAAAATTAGTTAAATTTGTTATTTGTAATAAATAGATATTATTTTTTCTAAAATATCATTGCTAATCATATGTATTATTTATTTATTTGATGAAACATTTAATAT